CTATTCAAAACAGGTCCTATTACACATTTTCAATATCTTCTTGCAACTCAGACTCGAGTAGTGGAAACTTACAGTATTTGTGCAAGAAGGATCGTGGTGAGCTCATACTAAGTATTTCTTATGTTTTTTCTTGGTCTTAACTTCTCTATGCCTCAGTTCACTCACCTCTAAAATAATATATCTTGGCTATTTCACATGGCTATTCTGAGGCTTAATTAATTGCACTCTTTAAAGAACTATAGTTATTATATTGTGATATATAAGATGTCACACTATAATTGGAGTAAGAAATTAAATGTCCAAATAGCTACATATGAGAAGGGATATGTCTCTTGAAGGTGCTTTTACCTTTCTTTGCAGTGGTAATTTGAGAAGCAGAAAGGACTAGAAATGAAAAAATCAGTATAATGTTTCCCTTGCTGCTATTTTGCAAGACTTTTCAAGTGGGAATGTGTAGACTTTGTAAACCAGAGATAAAGCAAAAGACTGCACAGCATCCTCAGCCTAGAAATGAGGGACTGGGACTCAAATATTGAAGGCATCCTGCTAATCTACCACCTACTATGATGTATCTGAATATACTATGATATAGCTGAATCCTTTGGAAAGCTATAGACCTTGGTGCTAGAAATGGTGTCTTTGTAGTTGCTATCTTTTCTGAAATGTGGGGTTTTTTTGGTTGTTGGGTTTGTTTGTTTTTTGGGGTGTTTTTTGGTTTTTTTTTTTTTTTTTAGTTATTCAGAACCAAGGCAAATTCTATCTGTCATTGCCTGGGGATCTGCAAGCATGTGGCTTCTCTGAAGGTTCACAGGGTTTTAGTATGTTTCTGCTTAGTTTTCTGGTAGGCTTGCAATTTGAAGTGATTTTTTGGGATTGCTTTCATCTTTTGAAGTAGTTTGGATATAGCAGCTACTCTCAATTAGTATCTATTACTTAAAACACTCCCTGCAGCTACCCTACAGTAGGGAATTAACATTTGGTTAAGAAATTTGCAATTCCTTAATGTAAATCATGGAAGGAAATGTATATATATACATAAAGTGTTTTGATACCTCACAGTGACACCCTTTGGTTTGAATTGATGAATGCCCCTATAAAAGGAGAAGGTTTCGGCAAAGGTCTGAAAAGCCTGGATGCATATTGTTGCATGAGGCCAACAGGAACAAGGTGCCAGGAATCCTAAAAATGTATAGGTAACATATTGTACTGTAACATAAGGAAAATACAGACAAGGATGTTGAAAGATTGTGATTGGGTAGACTCCCTGCGTGACAACGACATCATTATTTTTGTGGGCTTTTTTCAGCTATCCTGTAGCTAACAAAGCGTAATCTATGCTTTGCTCTCAGATTGGCACAGAAGGAATTGGAAACACGGGAATAAGTGCAAGGGGAGAGCAGCAGATACTGTCTACCTGGACTTCAGTAAGACTTTTGACATTCTTCCTTAAGATCCAAATAGAGAAGGCGATGAAGTTTTGGATGAGGAGACAGTGAGGCAGGCTGAAAAGTGGCTGTATGGCAGGGCCCAGTGGGTTGTGGTCAGCAGTGCAGAGTCTAGTTGGAGGCCAGTAACTAGCACTATACCTTAGGGGTCAATGCTCAGTCCTGTCCTGTTCAAGATCTTCACTGATGACCTGGATGATGGGGCAGAGTGTACCCTCAGCACATTCGCTGATGGTACCAAACCGGGAGGAGTAGCTGATACACCAGAGGGTTGTGGTCGTGCTGCCATCCAGAGGGACCTCAACAGCCTGGAGAAACAGACTGACAGCAACCCTATTAACTTCTGTGAGAAGTGCAAAGACCTACAGCTGGAGAGGATGAACCCACTGCACCAGCATAAGCTGGGGGATACTCACCTGGATAGCAAGCTGGTAGAATAGGACGTGGGTGTCCTGGTGAACACCAAGCTGAACATAAACCAGCAATGTGTCCTTGCTGCAAAGAAGGCAAACAGTATCTTGGGCTGTGTTTAGACAAAGTATTGCCAGCAGGTTGAAGGAGGTGATCCTTCTCTCCTCAGCACTAGTGAGACCATACCTGGAGTCCTGTGTCCTCTTCTGGGCTCTTCAGCAGAAGACATACATAGCGCTGCTGAAGAGAGTTCAGCTAAAGGGCCACAAAGATGATGAAGGGACAGGGCATCTCTCCTGTGAGGAAAGGCCGTGACAGCTGAGACTGTTTAGCCTGGAGAAAAGAAGGCTCAGGGGATCTCATCCATATATATGAATATCTGAAGACAGGGTGCAAAGAGGACGGAGCCAGGCTCTTTTCAATGGTGCCCAGTGACAGGACAAGAGTCAATGGGCACAAACTGAAACATAGGAGGTTCCTCATGAACATCAAGAAACACCTTTTTACTGTGAGGGTGACTGAGCACTGGTACAAGTTGCCAAGAGAGGTCATGGAGACCTTTCATCCTTGGAGAGAGATGCTAATGAGCAGAGAGGTTGGACTGGATAGCCTCCAGAGATGCCTTCCAACCCCAACGATTCTGTTATTTTTATCAGTATATAGTCTCTTAGAAGTCTGCAGTTGTTAAGTGGTTTAAATCCTGGATGTTTGTGCAGCCACGTTGTCTACTGAGGAGAATCTGGCCTTTCCGACTTACGTAATCACCCTTCACTGATACATGTTTATGCAGTAGATGGAACCATTTACTGAGATCATCCAAAAGTTGAATTAGGTTTGAATGGGTTTATCTAAGCTGTACTGCTTCACACATTCTGTGAGCACACTGCATGCTGCATTAGCTGCTTTCTGCCTTATTACCCTATAAAGCTCTAAATGTTTTGGGACTTCGTTATTGTAGAGAATTGGCTTTCCACATCTGATACCTCTGCTGCTACCTCTGCTGCAATTAGTCTTAATGTGAGAACTAACGACTGGTTTTAAAAGAGAAGGGATAAAGCAGAAAACATCTTGTGAACAGTAATAATCCATACACCTTTTTCCTTCACATCACAGCATGCTGGGAAGCGATAAATGCAGGCAAATGAACAAGAATGTGACCTGCTCTGGGGACTTCAAGCTCACATGGGATATTAAGAGGAGTCAATCATAAGCAAGGGAAATATCAGGCATGCATTCTTTAGAACTGTTTGTTTGTTTAACTTCAGTGAAATTTCTACCTGTGAGATTTGTCTTCCTCTCTGTCCCCCGTCCCTGCCACAGACATACTTTTGCACTTTATGAAGACTCCAGTTCAAAATTTCAGTGGCAGAGACATTCACTGAAGGGGATACACTGGGCATGTGGGAAGCTTAACTAGCCAACGCAGCTCCTAGACTTCCAAACTCTTTGCTTTGACCTCTGTGGTTTGGGAAAAATGATAGCAATCTGCATAGTAATTTTGTTTCTGGTATTGATGTCTGTTGAAAATAATGCTCTATTGTGGTGCCTAGTAACACAGGCTGTTAAAAATAAGCATTTATGTATGCATCTAGGAAGCCTTTAGGTGATTCATTCTGAAGTGGATTTGATAGAGATGAACACCCTAAACACTAGTATGATATGAATTAAAC